TTCTCCTGACACCCTTAACACTTAAAAGAATTTTTTGTCCCTTAAAACTTTAAAGCTTTAGTTAAAGCTTTACCTCTTTAGTTAAAGAGTTCAAAGTAAAGCCCTGGACTTTGTAACGTGTTACACACGACATTCTGAATGTTGGCTTACACCAGTGTACAAACCCCCAGAAGGAATAATGTTAAAATCCCGTGTCAAGTCTTAAGCCCAGATTTGGTGTGACAGGATACACCGGTTCCCAGAAGTTTCAGGCGCAAGAATGGTTTTAAACCCCATCCAGGCTTTGTCACAAGATGGGATCGACTTAATTTGCTCCTGAAAGCAAATGGCCTGGTCAGAGAGTCCACATGAGGAGCGGTTGGCAGGAATGCGACTGCTGCCCCGTTCGGTTTGGCTCAGTGGATAGAGCGTCGGCCTGCGGCTGAAGGGTCCCAGGTTTGATTCTGGCCAGGGGCACATGCCTGGGTTTCGGGCTTAATCCCCAGTGGGGGACATGCAGGAGGCAGCCGATCCATGATTCTCTCTCATCATTGATGTTTCTATCTCTCTCTTCCTCTCCCTTCCTCTCTGAAATCAATAAAAATATATTTTAAAAAAGAATTCGATGGCTGTAACCGGTGGTGGGGACAGGCCAGGGGCCCAGGGGTATGCAAGTTTGGAGCCAGAGAAATCACTTTGGATAAGAGGGTCAGCGAAGGTGGCTATGGAGGGGAGTGGCAGTGAGGTTTATACTTTTCTTTTTAAAAAAAATTTTTTTTTATTGATTTCAGAGAGGAAGGAAGTGGGAGAAAGAAATAGAAGCATCCATGATGAGAGAGAATCATGGATCGGCTGCCTCCTGCACGCCCCCTACTGGGGATCGAGCCCACATCCCGGGCATGTGCCCTGACTGGGAATCGAACCGTGACCTCCTGGTTCATAGGTCAACGCTCAACCACTGAGCCACGCCGGCCGGGTTTGAAATTATATTTTAACTCAAATGAATGGTAACATAGTCCAAAGAACATCGTCATGGATTAGGGATCTCGGGAGCTGAGTTCTTGCTCTAAGTTGGTTTGTACTTTCGGGCAAAGCCCATGACCTCTCAGGACCTAAATTTCCCTGTAAGTGAAGTTGATGGGGGTGGGTTGGACTAGCTGATGCCAAGGTGCTTTCCTGGTCTGCGTTCAATCCCTGGAAACATCCCTTCAGTATGGGAAGTGGGTTTAAAATATTTTATGGACCTGGTCAGTGTGACTGGTGGTTGTGCGTCGACCTATGAACCAGGAGGTCACGGTTCGATTCCCAGTCCGGGTACATGCCCGGGTTGCGGGCTCGATCCCCAGTAGGGGGCGTGCAGGAGGCAGCCGATCCATGATTCTCATTGTGGATGTTTCTCTCTCTCCCTCTCCCTTCCTCTCCGGAATCAATAAAAATAAATTAAAATAATTTATTGCATGAGGATATTTATTCACCTGCAAAACATCTACTTCTTTACCTCACCGGTTTCATTTCTTAACTTTCTGAGCAAAAACAAATCACCAGAAGTACAGAATCAGTGCTGAGAAACATTGGCCTGTCTTAAGGAAAATCATTTTTTTAAAAAAATATATTTTATTGATATTTTACAGAGAGGAAGGGAGAGGAATAGAGAGTTAGAAACATCGATGAGAGAGAAACATCGATCAGCTGCCTCCTGCACACCCCCTACTGGGATGTGCCCGCAACCAAGGTACATGCCCTTGACCGGAATCGAACCCGGGACCCTTCAGTCTGCAGGCCGAAGCTCTATCCACTGACCCACACCGGCCAGGGCAAGGAAAATCATTTTAATAAATATGTTCAGCCCGGCCGGCGTGGCTCAGGGGTTGAGCGTCGACCTATGAACCAGGAGGTCATGGTTTGATTCCCGGTCAGGGCACATGCCCGGGTTGCGGGCTCCATCCCCAGTGTGGGGCGTGCAGCGGGCAGCCGATCCATGATTCTCTCTCATCATGGATGTTTCTCTTTCCTTCTCCCTTCCTCTCTGAAATCAATATAAATACATGTTGTAAAATAAATAAGAAAATATGTCCATTTCATTTCTAACTCCCCTCTCTAGACTGTGTCCCCCTGACATAATGTCAAGTGGAGATGACCGCCGGCCGCAGGCTCTCGCCAAACCCGCGTTCAGCGAGGCGCAGGCCTGTGCCGTGGTGGAGTCCGAGTTCGGGTTCCGGGTGTCCGAGATCCAGCCGCTCCCGAGCTACGACGACCAGAACTTCCGCGTGCGCGTCTCAAGGCCCGGAGACGCTTTGGGTGGCCCGACGGAGTATGTCCTCAAAATCAGCAACACCGAGTCCAGCAAGAACCCCGACCTGATCGAGGTGCAGAGCCACGTCGCCATGTTCCTGCACGAGGCGGGGTTCCCTACGGCCTCTGTGTGTCGCACCCGGGACGGCGGCGTCACCTCGCTCGTGTCCGTGGGTAAGAGGCCCCAACGGGCCGGTCACCACTGGTCTGTGTACAGGAGTGGGTTTTGGTTCCAAGTAGAAATATCAACAACAGGCTCGTCAGCCCAGCAGGCCAGCGTGGCTCAGTGGTTGAGCATCGACCTGTGAACCAGGAGGTCAGGGTTCGATTCCCGGTCAGGGCCCGTGCCTGGGTTGCAGGCTCCATCCCCAGTGGGGGGCGTGCAGGAGGCAGCCGTTCCGTGATTCTCTCTCATCGAAGTTTCTCTCTCTCTCCCTCTCCCTTCCTCTGTCTCTGAAAGTCAATAAAAACATATTTTTTAAAAAAAAATAGTTTACCCTGGCCGGTTTGGCTCAGTGGATGGAGCATCGGCCTGGGGACTGAGGGGTCCCAGGTTCGATTCCGGCCAAAGGCACATGCCCGGGTTGCGGGCTCGATCCCCAGCAGGGGGTGTGCAGGAGGCAGCCGATCAATGATTCTCTCTCATCGTTGATGTTTCTATCTCTCTCTCCCTCTCCCTTCCTCTCTGAAATCAATAAAGAAATATATTTAAAAAAAAAATACTTTCATTCCTCAGACCAGCTGTATATGTTGATGCTGTGGTGTCACAGAAAAGAAGGCAGAACCAGAATCAGGAACTTCCGGTCCCAGCACGGTCATGTCCCACACGTCCTCGTCCGTGAGAATCGGGCCTTTCACCCCTCGATGCCAACACGCTTCGGGTGTGCTTGATCGAGGTCTGCCAGCGGCAGCTGGAAATCAGTTCCCAGGAATTTATTTTTAAATATATTTTTATTGATTTTAGAGAGGAAGGGAGAGGGAGAGAGAGATAGAAACATCCATGTTGAGAGAGAATCACGGACCCGGCTGCCTCCTGCACGCCCCCTATTGGGTATGGAGCCTGCAACCCGGGCCTGTGCCCTGACCAGGAATCGAACCGTGACCTCCTGGTTCACAGGTAGATGCTCAACCACGGAGCCACGCCGGCCGGGCCCCAGGAATTTTTTTTGGTTGGAAATGGTGCCTGTTTCTCTCCTAACTGTGCTCCCATTCCGTCTCACTGTGCTTTGCTCCAAACCCATGAGCCTTTAGGGTCCCTGAGGGTTAGTGCTCATCCTGGGTGGCTAGCAGCCTGTTCCTCAGTTGGCTCTGGCAGAACCTGTGATTCCAGAACAGTCTTTTCTTTTTTTAAATATATTTTATTGATTTTTTTACAGAGAGGAAGAGAGGGGAGAGAGAAAGAGATAGAAACAGCCCTGACCGGTTTGGCTCCAGTGGATAGAGCATCGGGCCTGGTGGACCGAAGGGCCCCGGGTTCGATTCCGGTCAAGGGCATGTACCTTGGTTGCCGGGCACATTCCCAGTGAGGGGCGTGCAGGAGGCAGCTGATCGATGTTTCTCTCTCATCGATGTTTCTAACTCTCTCTTCCTCTCCCTTCCTCTCTGTAAAAAAAATCAATAAAATATATTAAAAGTCTTTAAAAAATATTTAGCATTTCTTTAAAAAAAAAAAGAGTTAGAAACATCGATGAGAGAGAAACATCGATCAGCTGCCCCCTACACACTCCCTACTGAGGATGTGCCTACAACCAAGGTACATGCCCTTGACCGGAATCAAACCCGGGACCCTTCAGTCCGCAGGCCGACGCTCTATCCACTGAGCCACACCTGTTAGGGCAGAGCAGTCATTTCTTCATGTCACACCTTCCTTAGTTGTAGCCCTACGAGAGGTGTTTCCGGCGTTCATTTACCAGAGTAGCTCATGGATGTGCGGGGCGGGGGCCGGCAGAGTTGGGGCTGTCCATTTGTTGGGATGTAAATGGCTGATTCCCATGTTCTGAGGTTCATTTGTTCTCCTTTTTTTAAAAAATATATTTTTCATTGATTTCAGACAGGAAGGGAGAGGGAGAGAGAGAAACATCCATGATGAGAGAGAATCATGGACCAGCTGCCTCCTGCACGCCCCCCACTGGGGATCGAGCCCGCAACCCTGGCATGTGCCCTGACTGGGAATCGAACCCTGACCTCCTGGTTTACACGTCAACCTCAACCACTGAGCCACGCTGGCCGGGCTGTTCTACCTTCTTGCTTCGTCCTCTCAGCCCTGCCTCCGAGAACCCTGCTGATTGTCCTTCGTCGGGAGGACTTCATCTGGAACCCTAGCACTTTTTTCTCTCTTGTTCTGTGAGTTCTGTCTTATTGGCAATAATAATCACAAAAGCAGAATGGCCTCTGATTTTTCTGAGACGACTTGACAGGACGTATCCTTCCGTCCGTCCAGACAGTGGTTCCCAAACCAAGAGCCACGTGGTGAGGCTGCTGACGTACCTCCCAGGGCGGCCTGTCGCGGAGGTCCCCGTCGGCCCCCGGCTGCTGTATGAGATCGGGAGGCTGGCTGCCACGCTGGATAAGACGCTGGAGGTAAGACTTGGGGTTTTGTTTCGCGTGTGAGCATTTTTTATTTGGGTGTGATTTTATATTATTTTTTAAATCTTTTTTAAAAAATATATGTTATTGAGTTTTTACAGAGAAGAAGGGAGAGGAATAGAGAGTTAGAAATATCGATGATGTTTCTAACTCTCTATCTCTCTTCCTTCTTCTCTGTAAAAACTCAATAAAATATATTTAAAAAAAAAAAAAAAGAAACATTGATGAGAGAGAAACATCGATCAGCTGCCTCCTGCACGCCCCCCCTGGGGATGTGCCCGCAACCAAGGTACATGCCCTTGACTGGAATCGAACCCGGGACCCTTCAGTCCTCAGGCCGGCACTCTATCCACTGAGCCACACCGGCCAGGGCCAGATGCACACTTTAAAAGGGAATCACACCCGTCTTCACACAAGTAGGAGGAGGAAGCGAGACGGGAATGTGCTCTGAGGACTGTGAGCCTGAGCAACATGCAGGGTCACCATTCGTGGCTGTGTGTACCTGGGCGAGTCAGCGCCCACGAGAGAACGCCAGCCCTGTCCCCAGGCCTGGCCCGGGCGGGGTGCGGCCTCCTATCACAGACCCCTCCCTCGTGGTTGCTCTGGCCGCCAAGAGTCTGAGCGTTTCTTGCTTTCGGTTTAGGAGTTCCATCACCCAAAGTTAAGATGTCTTCGCCGGGAGGACTTCATCTGGAACCTGAGAAACGTCCCTCTTCTGGAGAAATACCTGAGCGCCTTGGGCCAGGATCGGAACCGGGAGATTGTGGGAGAGGTCATCCGGCTCTTCAAGGAGGAAGTCACGGCCAAGCTAAGTCACTTCCGAGAGTGTGAGTATTCGTCTTGATATTTAAGTTGTCAAATTTCAGCCCGGCCGGCCGGCCAGTGTGGCTCAGTGGTTGAGCGCCGACCTAGGAACCAGGAGGTCACGGTTCGATTCCCGGTCGGGGCACAGGCCCGGGGTGCGGGCTCCATCCCCAGTAGTGGGCGTGCAGGAGGCAGCCGATCCATGATTCTCATCATTGGTGTTCTCTCTCTCTCTACCTCTCCCTTCCTCTCTGAAATCAATAAAAATACATTTTAAATTGTCAGATTTTAAATCATCAGGAAAAGTGTGGAGTTACAACGTAGCTTTACCGAATTGTCATCAGAACAAATTTTTTTGGAAATCTGAGGTTAAATATAAAGAACACAACTGGCCCATCCTAGGACCCTTTGCTGCTTATAATCTGAAGACATGTATATTTTTAACATTTCTGGCTGGAGCCGTTCTCCGTTTCCCTTTACTCTTCCGGTTCGTGAAAATGAAGTGTTTGCAGCAACGACATTCTCCATCTGCTGGCTTGTACTGATGAGAAGCAAAGGCAGAAACGCCACCAAAATGAACTGCTTTTGTCCTTTTCAGAGGATATTATTTTGCTTTAAGAAAAATAGAGTTTGGTTTGGCTTATTTATTTATTATTTTTTAACCCTCACCTGAGGATATTTTTTCCATTGCTTTTCAGAGAGAGTGGAAGGGAAGGAGGCAGGGGGAGAGAGAGAGAGACAGACAGGCAGACAGGCATGTGAGAGACACACGTCAACTGGTTGCCTCCTGCACTCGCCCCAACAGGGTGGGGAGCAAATCTGAAACCCAGGTACGTGCCCATGACTGGGAATCGAACCCATGACCCTTTGGTATGGGGACTGACACTCTAACCACTGAGCACACCAGCCAGGGCAGGGTTTGGCTTTTTTTTTCAATCTCTGACTGCTCATCAAATGACCGGAATGGCCGTGCCTGAGACGGAGAAATGGAAAGAGAATGAACTGGGTATTGTACAATGGCTGTCGCACGGCTGGCTTTTCTCTCCTCGCAGGTGTCAATCACGGCGACCTCAACGACCACAACATTCTAGTCGAGTCCAGCGAGCCCGCCTCCGGGGATGCCGTCTTTCGCGTGTCTGGGATCTTGGACTTTGAAGACATGAGCTGTGGCTACTACGTGTTTGAAGTGGCGATCGCCATCATGTACATGATGATAGAGAGCCGGGACCCGATGGGGGTCGGAGGCCACGTCCTCGCGGGGTTTGAGAGCGTCATCCCGCTGACCCCTGCGGAGCGGGGTGCCCTGTTCCTGCTGGTGTGCGGCCGTTTCTGCCAGTCGCTCGTCATGGCTGCGCACTCCTGCCGGCTACACCCGGAGAACGCTGAGTACCTCATGATCACGGCGAAAACGGGGTGGAAGCACCTGCAGCAGATGTTTGCCATGGGCCGGAGAGCTGTCGAAGACCTCTGGTTCGACACGGCCCGGTCCTACGGGTGCGGGGTCCCCGTGTGACGTGGGTAAACGTTCACACGAACCTGGGTGGTTAACCCAATGGGACCCAATCTCAGTCGACGAGGGATTTTCCTGCGCAGTTAAAAGTGAATCGATGGCCCTGGCTGGTGTGGCTCAGTGGATAGAGCATTGGCCTGGGGACTGAAGGGTCCCGGGTTTGATTCCGGTCAAGGGCATATGCCTGGGTTGTGGGCTCCATCCCCAGTGGGGGGCCTGCAGGAGGCAGCCGATCTATGATTCTCTCTCATCACTGATGTTTCTCTCTCTCTCCCTCTCCCTTCCTCTCTGAAATCAATGAAGATACATTTTTTTAAAAAAGTGAATTGATGAAACGGATCTGTGCGTGTGAAGCCACCGAGGTCTTCAATCTCATGATGATATTTTAAACTAAGAAACACCATGTGAACAGTCATGTTTTCCTATCGGTCTCGCGTGCCCTGTCCATGAAACACACAGAATGATATTTTGAATCAGATAGTCTCTCACTGTCTCTTCCAGAGCTGGTCAGCCTTCTAGCCTCACACGCCCCCCCAAAAAACAAAACAAAAAAACTTAAAACATGAATAGTAAATAGTTCGCATAGGGATGGAACCCAGAAAGGAGAGATGGATGGTGAACACATTTGAAAGCGGATTTTCAGTACAGAAATGGTGTTTGAGTGGGATGGTCGGCGCCGGGAGTCCAGTCCGTCGGGACCCACAAGGTGGGAGGCAGAGGGCGAGGCGAAGAAGCAGGGAGCCAGGTTTGGGGGGGGGGGTCCCGCGGGTGCTGTCCGAGCCGGCGGTGCTGAAGGGGAAGCGGGCACAGCGGGAAGGTGTAGAGCAGGAGTAGCCGTTGACCCCATGTTCTTCTTCGCGGGGGTTTTCGGGCGCCCCCCCACCCTGTGTCGCCCCCTCCTCAGCTGAGGACCCGCAGGGCCGCCGCACCCCATCTTTCCTGCTCCCACAAGGGAGCAAGCAGCCCCTGCGCTGGAGGACTTCCGCGTTGTTGGCCCCGCCCCCGAGGGTCTTTCTTGTCCTTGGCCCCGCCCCCGGAGGGCTTCCGTGTTCTAGGCCCCGCCCCTGGAGGACTTCCGCATCCTCGCCCCGCCCCAGAAGGACCTCCGTTTCCTAGGCCCTGCCCCTAGAGGACTTCC